GCATTTGCACAATCAAGCGATTTTTATCGCAAAAAAGAACACTTTACATACTTAATATTTTATATTGACATCGAGAAATACGCTCCTTTCTTTGCACAATTTTTTATCAATATTTATCGATAAACAATATCGATATATCAAAGTCACAATTTCTTTTAATGCAAATTATTTTTAATAAAGTAAATAACACCGAGTAGCTGTTTCTTCATTATTATCTACATTATTACGTGTAAACTGTGAATATCATTTAATTTATTTTATATAAGTAATTTTCTTTTCTTTTTTTTCCCTTAAAATAAATGTGAAATTATAATATATATCTTTGTTTCTCTTTCTCTCTTTGTCTTTCATGTTGTTCGATATTATTTCTGAACAGGAAATTTTTGCACGTACGCGTTTATTGTCGCGATAATTACGCTTTCGTGCAACTACGCATGCAGACCGGTGCAACGCAATGTAGCGCACACGCACTGTGTCATGCGTATTGCGGCGGCGGCAGCGACGTCGTCATCCGAGCACGGTCTGGACCGCGAAATAGAGACGACGATGCGCAGCTATAACGGTATGTTGACCTCCGAAGCCAATTGCTGCCTTGCTCGGACAACGCACACGGATACGAACGGCATCACCGGAGAATGTGTGCGACGCGCATTGACTTTTCGGACTGGCACCAGTTATATATTATCGATTAATCGACGATGTGCAATGCAACGGGAACAACGCGTATTTTTTCGCGATATATTCGAATTTTTATGCACAAAACAATATCGAGTAAATCAATCATACATAATCAGAAAAATATAAGATGTCTATGAAAAACTTCGTTGAAGGTATGAGAATTCTACATAAGAATTCTACATAATAATTTTTATAGAAATATAAAAAACATTATTTTATTTATTTTATATTTCTACTTTATTTTAAATTTTTTGAATTATTTTTAAGAGAAAACATTTAATTACATATTTTTAATATAATTCGATATTCAATTTTATAATGCTTTCGTTAAAAATTTTATAAGAATATTGGAAACATATCCATAGTACATAGATCTTCATATAATGTATTAGAAAAATATATCTAATAATGTAAGTACAAAATATAAAATATTCTGGTTTTGTTTCTTTTCAAAATACTTTATAATTTGTAGTAAAATTAATATCCATTATATAATAAATGTCAGAATCGAAAGGGCTTAGTCATATTATAATCATATTTTATTAAAAAAGTAAAATTCTATAAGGAAATTTAATTTTATCCAGGATGAATTACAAATTTCTTCTTTTACAAAAATTAAGAAACCCTTTTCTTCAGAGATTAAACTCATATCATGAAATTTCCCCATCTCGTTTTCAAGAAATCGACGATGTCCGATGATTCATATTGCGACCTTGTTGCTTAGTGAGCGAAAGTTAAATATAGCTAATAGCTGCACAAAAGAATATATTCACGTGCATATATTCATTTTGTATGCACCAATCGAATAGCATTTTAAGTAGTAGTTTAATTCTTTTCATTGTGAAGAACATGTATAATAAAGAAAATCCCTGAATTTAATTTAATATTAATAACATGCTTCGAGAAATTATCAAATCATAATATCAAGTAGTCTTTTTCATAGAAAAAATATCGATCCTGATTTAGAAAATTTTACTTATAATTAATATTTCCGAATAAAAGAAACGATTATAACCACATGGACATGATTGCAAATTAGAAATAAGGAAGTAATTATAATCGAATATCGATATATTATTTTTAATGGAATTCTCTTATCATTTTTCTTATCTTCTATTCTATTATAATTCACAATAAAAATGAAGCACTTCTTATATGATTTATACACTCAGATCAGACGTACGATCGATAAGGGGAAGCAGACGAAGCGTAAGGCATAGTGGTAAGTCAAAACAAGCTATACGACGAATCGAAATCGAAAGTAAATACTAACCGCGAGACGTGATTATTTCGCTAACAATACGACTGGTGGTATGTGTGATTTTTTCCTAATAACACTATAAATTACTCTGACACAATAGATTGCACTTCGCGTATAATAATGAGACAAGAAATTGAATCAAATCAAATTTTTCCGCTTGATGCTAATATCGATTCGCATTTAAATGTAAAGAGCTATATATGCATAATAATTTTAAAATAATTTTAATTTTAATTTTAATTTGTTCACTATTTTATTGCAAATTTTCTGAGCGTGCAAATATATTCGTTCATACTTTATTATTATAATATAATATATTCTTTGACTTTAAATTAAAATATCATATAAAGCTATACTATAAATTAATAAAGATAAGCTTATTGTTTTTAATTATATCTATATCATTATTCATGAATATTCTGAACTAAAAAATAATAATTAATTGAATATCTTCTTCTAAATATTATGTAATAATAAATATAGTAAAAATATACATGAATATATCATATAAAAAATAAACAGATTTAATAATTCAATAAAACTTATTATTTTTCTTATAAATCAAAACAAAAATAAGACTAATAAACTGTTTGCTACAACGCGCATGCTCCGAAAATTCCCTTGGTATTCGCGTTTAAATGACTCGTTCATATTAATGGCTTGTATTACAGTTTGACGAAATCAAACAGTTTGCCCGTAGTATTAGCGCAGGCATTTCATGTATCTAGAGAACGTAGTTTAACTATAGGAAGTACTTCAGGGGTCAAACTAACCCCGAGCACTGCGTATAATTTTCTTATCATGCCTACAATAATACGGTAACGTAACGTGCACGTGTACTTGCATAATAACGTACTAACGTAACATGCAACGATTACATGAATTGATTTACCGATCTTCGCGTTCTTTTACCTTTTACTCGCAATACCATAAATATTTATTTGCCACATCATATTATACGAACAAGAGAGAAAGAGAAAGATACGAAATTATATATTACATTAATTATAGCTCTATAAATCGCACGCTCATAATCTTAAAGTACAAATTGAACAATGCATCGTAGACCAATGTAAAATCCCGCCACCTCTCTGAAAACGCTCGCGAAGAGAGAATTGGCAGAGCGTAGCTGCATAAAACACAGCTCTTACTCTCTCTCTCTCTCTCTCTCGTTCTTTCTCTGTCGCTCCTTCTTTCTCTCTTTCTCCATCTCGCTCTCTCCCTCACGTCGAGACTCAGGTCGTTTCTCTCCCGGCCAACGACCGTCCACCTTCAGTTTTGTACCCTTCCAGACAGCACGCGCCTTATACGTCGACAGGTAGATGCAACGTTCGAGATATATACGCGTCCAGGGTGGTCCGACGATAAGGACCAAAGATCGAGCAGAAAACTGTCTTGGTCGACGTCATTGTTTAGAGCTGCACTTTTTCGTATGGTTCGTGCTTAACTTTCGTCCGTCTCTCGGGTTTTTAAAAACTCAAATTGATTAAAGTGGATTGAATAAAAATTTAATACATTTATGATGCTACTTTTAGTTTTTTTGGTTGATAATTAAATTATATATTCGGAAATTTTAAATCAGATGAGTTCAAATAAATGTTAAAAAATTATATATTCTAGTATATTAATATTAAAATTTATAAATATATATAATTAGTCGAAATTCTTCAAATCACGAAAATGGCTTTTCATGTGATTTTATTTTTTTTATTTTTTTTTTTTTTTTTTTTTTTTTTAATTCAGATATTGAATTATAATAAATAAATAAATGCAGAGAAAATTTTTTTGATGAAATTTGATAATCCGATAATAAAAAAGAATATTAATTCGTAATTTCTTATGCCAAAATTTTAGGAACAATTGCATACAAGACAATCAAAAATTAAAATTCAATTTAATCGATTCATCTAAGAGATGAATAAAGATGACTATAGATACATATTTAATATTTTATACATCGACAATATACTTTACATTTATCAAGTATTTATCTTTAAACAATGACAATGACAATATGTTTTCTCGCAATACTCTCTAGTCTCTATCTGTACTATCATCCGGTTTATTCTTTACATCGGTTTTTCTGTTGATCCCTTTGATCCCTCCTGTATAATTTTGTACCTTAACTCTTTCTTATTTCTCACATCTTACTCCAATTGCACGCTTCGCGAGAGCGAATCGCGATTAGACAAGAAGAAACCGCGGACAGGAAAGTGAAGGGTACAAAGAGAGGAGGATAGAAATGGCGCAGGGGGAGAGGTAGGGGACAAGAGGACGGAGTAGATCGGCCCTTTTGCAAAAAGCGGCGTCCAAAGTGTCGGCCGACCGGTTCCACGCGCGCATGTACCTGTCACGTATATCCCCTTAAATGCGGCGCTAGAGAAAGAGAAAGAGATAGAAGAAAGAAAGACATAGGCATAGACAGAGAAAAAGAGAGAGAGAGAGAACACACATGTGTGTCGAGTACACGAATGGAGCAACGGCGCGCGCACTTACACCGACGCGCATGCACGCGCGAGCGTAGGCGACGTCGTATACGGGGTGTCCGAGAATCGACGGAGACAGATTTTCTTGGATCTATCAAAGAATTAGTAGTAATAATGAGATATTATCCAATTCACTTTTCTAGACTTTACTCTCGCGAGAATTTTTATTTGAAAGATTTGATATATTGTTAAAACCTCGATCAGTAAAATTTAAAAAGATTAGTACATTTTCATTAAGGCTGAATTCGTTTTAAATTTTTCACGAGAGAAGACTATGTACAAAATTATCAGGACACCTTATATATGCGCATTCACAAAGCGCATACGTATATATACATGTATATGTATGTGTAGAGAACCTGCATGCACAGCGAACCGGTTTGTGTTTATAACAATACCGTCGACGAGGCCGCGGCGTAACCGCGCGAAGGTAACCGTCGACGAAGCCCTTTCCCCCCTCGTAGGGCCATCGCTCGCCATAACCCGTCCGTGCACGCGAGCGAAAGAGACAGAGAAAGAGAAATAGAGAAAGAAAGACTCGTGGTGTATACGACAAAAGCAAATGTACTCACATCTTAATACTCGGTCGCGGACCACATTCGTGGGCAGAAGAAGGACGCTCCGTGGCTGGATGTAGGTATCGCGATCGCCGCCGCCGACGTTCCCGGCTGCTCCGGCGCGTATTATCCGCGAGATACGTCACTGTATCGTGATCCGCTCCCCTCTCCCGCCGTGTCGACGGAGATATCGTCACTCGCGTGAACGGCCGCCACACAGGTATCGTACTACTACTACTACTTTTACTACACTACTATACGCGCACTCCCGAAACTCGTTCGCTGGGCCAGGTTCGCAACGTCCGCCGTTACGTTGCGTTCGTTCGTTCGTTCGGTCGGTTCGTTCGACGGCAACTTCGTTGCGAAGCGCGTATAGGTGAGAAACGGCCCGCCCGCCGGGTATCACACGATCGGCAACAGACGCGGGACGCGAAAACCGTTCGCGACTCACCCGTGAAACGCGGAACCGCGCGGATATACGTTTACACGGCGCGTTTGCATGCGCGCAAGACACGCAGAACGCCGAAAATCCCGAGCGGAATATTGACAAATAACTCGGCGTCGCGCGACGCGACACCGTCACCTGCTGCCTGTCTCGCCGCGACTTGCCGGCGCCACCGCGCGGCCGCTCTCGTAACTAACGACCGACCGTTACGGCCGGGTCGGCCATGTTCCGTCCTCGATGAAATATTATGAAAGATTCGCGCGGCTCGAGAAAGAGTTCCGTGATTATCCGGCGGGATCTAAACGGACTGCCGGGGATGATATGCGGAAGAATTTGATATGGTTGATAGTCGATAACATCGCGATGTAACGAGCATGCTTAAGTTTTAGAATTCGGCTCAGTTATTTAGAGAGAGAGAGAAAGAGAATCATAATGCAAAAAAATATGAATTTGATGCACACATTATACTAATTGGAATAATCATAAATGTTATTTAATTGCTCATTCTTGTGTGAGGCAATGCCAGAAATAGATAAAAAGTATGTTGCAAGTTGTAAGAAAGTATTGTTTCCAAAAATATATATATGTTAGATATAAAAAAAACAGACATAGAGAGAATGAGAGAGAGAGAGAGAGAGAGAGAGAGAGATATGTATGAATTTATTTCTCATGCTATTGATTAAATTAATATACATACATAATAAAATTATTAATACAATGCGATTCTCGCATTTTATTTTTCAATGGTGCGAATGCAAAAAATAATAGCAACGCAGCTAATTATTAAAACGAAAGGATATATACCTGAATCGTGCACCAATTTGTACATACTTCGACAAGAATAACATCGGAGAGAATAAATGCGATGAAATATACGACGAAATCGCGATATATATTGCATATATATAAACACACACACGTACATATATAATACATTTAATAATTTTACGACGAATATATCCGTTATTTTACGAAATATATTCGCGAAACTTTTCGCGCGCGAGATTCTTTAGACTAATAATCGCGATAAATATATAGAGCGGTTTGAATGCGAACTTTCAATCGCCAGGATGTGTTCCGTGACTGATCGCAGTTCGAGATTTATCGAAGAAAGATTCTCGAAGGAAATCTTTGCTCCGATTGGTCCATCAAACGTCAAGACGAACGCCAAACGAACGCAGCCGAAGCAAGTTCAACAATCGAAACAACGATCTATTCTTTATTCTATATAGTCGATGGTAATAACTGTCCGTGTCGTGTACTGTCATAGTGTCATATATTGTTTGTTGTTGTCGAGTACTGTTTCCCGCTGAAAAATATATCGCATCATAATTAATATTAGTGACAGAAAGATCATTTTATTATCTCAGTGAATAGTAAATTAGGGTATGCTACAATAAAATTTCGTGTTTTTATTACGTTTAATGTAAATATTAAATATACTAACCTAAAATCAGTATAGGAGTAATTTATTTCGCTACCGATTCTTTCCAAATAATTTATAGTTTATACTTATTCTTTTTTTACTATTGTAATATATAATATTAAATTGCGAAATATATGTTTCATACTAATAAAGAGTATTATGTAAGATTTTAAATAGAGAAAAAAATATATATTAAAATACTATATAATATTGTTGATTAATAAAATATTATTTATTAACATGTTCTTAATATGTGTAAATGTGTGTATTTGACGATACATGCACTAGTATATTCCTAACATGTATATTTTTTCAAACCAGGTAAATAATGGATAATATTTTTGGGAAAGAAGATTCTGGAGATGAAAGCGAACATAATGACATCGAGGACAAGGATGATAAAAATAGTCCTTTACAAAATTCAGGATCTAAAGATATTGAAGCTATGGATGTTGATGGTGCACAAATCAAAGTATAAATATTATTAAAAACATTGAATCTCTGTGGTACTTGTATATATTTTTTTAATATATTTTAAATAGATTAATTTCACATATTATAGACAGAGTCCGATGCAATGAGTTCTCAGTCACAATCGGATGCAGAAGAAAATGAAAATACAGGATCAAATTCTATGTGCCCAATTGTGGCGGAACAAATGGAAATTGAAAAACAGAAACTTGATATAAAGGAAGAACACATTGCGGAAGATATATTTGGTAACGATATCATGTTACCTCGCGCAAATCCAGTCACAAAAGAAAGAAGGGAAAGTAAAGAGAAAAGCAAGAAAGAGTTAGAGGAAGAAGAACGAGAGAAGATGCAGTATGTATATGATGTTTAAGTGTACATTTGATATGTATATTGCTTGGAGAATATATTAATAACTACAGTTTTATTTTTATAGGGTATTAGTATCCAATTTTACTGAAGATCAGTTGGACAGATATGAGATGTATAGACGATCAGCATTTCCGAAAGCAGCTATAAAAAGGGTATTGCACTTTTAGTTTTAGCTATTATTTATAAAAACAACTATTTGTTTTTAGAAAAACGTATATATTATATTCTGATAATAAATGTTTGTTTTTTTTTCAGATTATGCAAACCATAACAGGCTGTTCAGTATCTCAGAATGTTGTCATAGCTATGTCAGGAATCGCCAAAGTATTTGTTGGCGAAATTGTTGAAGAAGGTATGGACTTTTTCATGTAAAATATATCTCTCATTTGATTATTAAAATTTGATACTAAATTATTTCTATAAGCACAGCTTTAGATGTTATGGACGCTCAAAATGAAACTGGCCCATTACAACCAAAACATCTGAGAGAAGCTGTTCGCAGATTAAGATTGCAAGGTCAAATACCGAATGGCCGGGCGCATAAAGCTTTCTTTAGGCTGTAATTATTTTATATTTATGGTATATTAGTACAATGCTTCTCATTGATAGAAATCTATCAATATTAAAATTTGTAAACATGTACAAATTATATAATTCACGAACAATCAAAATCGGATTTTTTGCATATCTTTGCAAAATTACTATTTGTTTTTAGTCAAAACATACTGTTCGTATATTCTCGACTAGTATATTAAATTTTAATATTTTATAGGCATATATATTTTACTAACAACTAATTTATGCTTTATATCTTTAAATTAGAATATAAGCCAAATGTAATTATTAGTAGTATATTTTTATACTATTAACAAATTTTTTTGATATATGATTGTAAATTGGAAATACAATTATGAATCGTCAAAGTGTATATATAAAACAGATAATAGCAAAATATTACCAACCAGATACATATCTAACCAACTATATATAATATATACAGACATAGTATATACAGATTCATATTTTAAGATATTCATAAGAAAATATATCTTATGTATATGATACATTGATATGTATATGATACATGTATATGATACATGAATTACTTGCAGAAATATGTAAAAATTGCTTGCCCAATTTATAATTTTTATAATATACTTTTCAGTAGAAATTGATATAATATTTTATACTTTTATTGCCATTATATTGTATATATTTTCTATGACAAAATTGTTAATATGCTATTTTATATAAATTTTATTAATTTAAATATTTAGATTTAATTATCATGATTTAATTAAAGAAATATTTTCTCACGATTACAGGCATATATAAGAATCGATGATAAAATTTTGCCGATGACAAAACCTTAGGGAAAATATGTACCTTTTTGAAATTTCAGAAACAATTGCAATTGTTTATGCAAACATACTAGTTACTATATTATTTTAAAAATGTGATTAAAAATTATTTTGAATAGTAATTAAATTGTAATACAGTGACGAAACTTGAGCAATAATCTAAAAACTTTTTGAAATAAAAAAAGAAGAATAGTGTTGTGTGTATAGTGTTGTGCGAAAATGACTTTGAGTGTTTTTATTTACAACAATTTATATTTTTCATCATGTTCGCAAAAATATTTATCTGGCCGCTCTGATTTTTGTTTGATTATAAAAGATGGAGACGCGGATCAATATTATCAAGACTTCACTACTGTGAACTTAGACAAAATTTGGTCATCGATTCTTATATATGTGTCTGTAATCGTGTGAGAACTTTTTTTATCCAATATATGATATGCAAATATTATTTACATTAATATTACTATATAATATTTACTTTGGATGCATGATTTATGAAGTATTCACATTTCCAAAACTTTATACCGTGAAAACATTTGCGATTAACGCGCCGAAAAAGGACGTAATTTTATCAATTGCTCATTTGAATAATGAATCTCGAAGGTAAAATTGCGAGGTTATACGCCATTGAAAAGCTATTATCCGTATATATTACGATATGCAAAACGTTATTGTAATAAACTTGTAAATTTCTTTATTCTTCTATGGATGATTGCAAAGCACGGACATCATCTCGTCGTTTTGCATACCGCAAGAAATCAATTTCTTAGTCATGTCGTAAAAGAGGAATAAATATTCTCACCTCAGCGTAGAACACTTGTCAATGATTTATTCAATAGTTTGATGTATTTCAGCAATGAAAGAAGTCATTATTTTGACATTTATTCGCGATTGTGTCATCGTCCCATCGAATTTACGGCAAATAGCTCTGAACAGGTTCGCGAAATAGGAAGTGCAAATTTACGCGCGTATATATTTCAATTTTAAGACAGAGATTTCGATTTCTATGTACATTTTACATCCCAAATATTTTTCATGCTAATATTTTGTCTTTTATAAAGATAAAAATCAAAAAGTTGATGCGACAATGTTATTGCAAAAATGCAAAGAGAGATTCGCTGTGCTTTCGCACGAACGCTAGTAGAATGCACCAGCGAAAGTTGCTCGGTTACGAGCGCAATTTTTGTGCACGTCCCATGAGACATCGTAAATTTAACGAGATGCAACGAGATGTTATCGCGACAACAAAATCGCGATTAACGGAGAGGAAACGCGATATTGTCGCAAGAGACATCGAACCGACCGATAAAGATGCAGGTGAGATAAAATACATTGACTTATAAGCGATAGAACATACACTGCAAAAAAAGTGATCGATTTGAAATGAGCAGGAAGAAATTTATTTTGGCATAAAATCGATTATATTGCTCAATCTTTGAAATTTATATCTTTGAAAGATGATGAATACTAATCGGTTCGTATTTTAATTCATCGTTTTCTCTGCAGCGTTTGCATATAAAATCGAAATAAAGCAATGCTAAAGATGATAAATTCTATTTCCTTTCACTTTTTTCATTGCAGATTTGGAAGCGTGGGACGATTGGAGTAATTGGAGCACATGCAGCGTGACTTGCGGACAAGGACGACAAGTTCGTTGGCGTCATTGTTTGTCTAAAGATTGCATCGAAGGTCTCAAAAAGGCGCAATTGAAAAGTTGTCGTCTCAAGGATTGCGATACCAAAAGTTTTCTCGGTTGGTTCGGGATCAAATCTTGATCTGCATAAAGGTGAACAATAAAATATTTACCAACATTATATTGTTATAGAAAAAGTATATTTTAATGGTCTTAAAAATGTTGTGTATGAATAAAAAATTCTCAAGTTGTAAGCTCTCATTTTATTGCTAATCTGTATATTTCCATTTATTTTTAAAAAATTAGATTGCGCTTATTGACAATGGAAATTAAAATATTTATTTGCAAAGCAAAATTAAAAGACGTACATATATATTTGTATGTTTAATATATCTAATGTGTATATTTATGAGAAATTTAAATATTATATATATAGTGATATATTTAAATAAATTAATAAGATATTGAGGAAAAAAGAGAGAGAAAAAAATAATCTTTCACTTAATATATGGCTATATTTTATAACAACAGTATATATAATAGCTCTTTCTCTCTCTCCCTCAATATAGCCTTTTATTCGTTGAAAACTTCAGATTATTATGTACGGATTAAATAAAATGATATGAGCAAACTTTGATGTGATAATTTTATACACAATAAAATTGATAATACAAAAAGTTATATCAATATGAATAGAATTCAATTAATTTCAGCTCATTTTATTATATTCTTGTTTTTTATGGGTGATTGCTAAGAAAAAAGATATACTTATATCTCGAAGACATATATCTCGTTGTCACTTTTTTATAATGAAAGGATCTTTCAATTTTAGCATTCAAGGAAGCCACTCTGGAAAATGACAAAATATCGTCAAATATTAATCCCACTCTTTTAGAAAAGGATATCAAAAACAATCTGGAGGTAAAATTGAATAGACTCCGACATAAAAACTATAATACAGATCGCCGTATCAACGATGAAGATAACAACATTCGGAAACAGATAAAACGAGCAGGTAAACGGTTTCGATTGTATACATATAAAATTGTATATATGTATATCGAAAGAAAAAAACATAATTAATAAATATATAATATACATAATTAAAAATAAGGGATGTATTATATGCATCATGGGAAAAATGCTTATATAATTGGAGTAAATTGTTGTTTATTTATACATGTATATTTATCAACACAAAAATTTTATATAATACAAGAAAGAGAGAGAGAGAGAGAGATATGCATATTTCTCTCTAATAGGCAGATTTAAATAGTCCATACAGTTTTCACTTTTAACTATATACTACAAATACAAGATTTTATTGTAACATTATATTATACTATAATTTACCCCGATTGATATTTTCTTCTCATTTCACGTCATTACATAATGTCAAACAAATTTACGGAATAGCATGATTATCTAATATGCGAGAGATTGTAATTCGATTGCAATTACAAATATATTACGTGCGTCATGCGTATACTACACGAGAGATAGTAAATAAACAAGAGTAGGCGTGAAGTCGAGGTATCGCGAGCCATGTACACTTGGCGATCATGGCTTTCTCCAAGACCGGTTCGAGATTTACCATCTCGCAATACCGATTATTAAATGCATATAAATTTGGACCGGTTGGAAATTTCTGTGGTCTGCTCGTCTGGAATGTTTTTTCCTTTTTGCAATTTTTATGTGGAAATTCTTGCCGATATTAACAGTAAAAGTTCTTTTATCTCGACTCATTTTCTTCTTTTTTTTCTTTATATATCTATTTTTATTCAAGAAGGCTGTTCTTAATCGATTATAGTCTCTCTAGTCGGTAAAATTTGATTTGACCCATATTTGAGGATAACTGGTGAAAGGAAGTTTCATATAACCATAAAGTTTGAGTGGTGAATGTAAAAGTTTCTATAGGAAGCGTTTGGTTGAAATGTTTTCTTTTAATTTTTAACTTAGCCCTCCCATTGGAGAACAAACGAGTGAAAGTTATCGTTATGAACATTGGATAGTGGAAACTTCCATAGACTGCTCGCGATTAAAATGTTTCCCTTAAAGAAAAAAGAAAGAAAATTTTATAAAGCCTTTTATGAATTAAAAACTCTAATATTAATCTAATATTATTTCTCTAATCGCATTTCATACACAAAAAAAATTATAAATGTTTTATTAATTTATAACTAATATCTGTGTATAAAAAGACGATATTTTATTTAGTTATTAGATTTTGATTTGATCCACATATTATACAAATGAAATCAGCATAACTAGCATGAAAAATTATGTCGACAGGAAAAAACTATAGAAAACCGAAAATATGGGATCAATGGGGCAATTGGTCCACATGCAGCGTCACTTGTGGAATAGGAAAAATTATGAGATGGAGGCACTGCATAAGTGGAAGTTGTTCTGTAGGAGAAAAGAAAGCTCAATTAAAAACTTGCACTTCTGCAACGTGTTAAAATATTCTACATAGAGAGAGAGAGAGAGACAATATAGCTTTATAAAAGGAGATAATAGTATATACAACATAATAATATTATCAATAAAAACAAATGCATTCTTATTTTTAGAAATTGCATGTTCTTATTTCTGAAAACTGTAAATTGTATATGATATTTTATACTTTATACAGGGTGTAAGAGAATTGAGATGCATTTTTGGGAAATTTGGAAGACGAGAAATCAAAATAATCTTTTTATAACATCTCTTTGCAATCTAGAAATATAAAAACAAAATAATATCATTGTATAAGTGACAATTACATTGGTGGTGAAAAACAGACATGTCTAAAATCTTATGAACTAAATGGCTATTATTCTTATGATGAACAGCTAATGCACAACATAAAAATAAAAATCCATCAAATTTATTCAATGTTTAAACAACTTTATTTACAGTTGTAACTAGATATTACTGATTTACTTCAGTTTATTTTCTGAATTTAATCTGAACTAGCAGATATATTATGATCCAAGCCTTTTTTCATATGCATATGTATTTTATTCTCTTTGAAAATAGTCATCAGATCTGTAAATTACTGGCGATTTATATATTGGCGCTGTACTTAACACTATGGGTTCTTGAGCTTTTTTCTGAAATATTAAAAGAACTAATCAAATTCAAATTTTTACAACAGGAATTTTTGCATAAATTTTAATATATGAGAAAAATATATAGAGCAAGTTTTGTGTGTAAGATATATAATTTAACTTTTTAATCATTTAAAATACATTATACAAAAAGAAATATTTTCTAAATTATACTTACGAAAAATGATAAAGGGTTTAGTATCCCAAATAATCTATCTGATACGCCTAATTCAGCTTCTGCCTTGTCTACAGCAACTTCTAATGAATTTAAGTTCATATTGGCCATTGCGACAACATGCTCCAATGCATCTATTCTTTTACAAAGACTTGTCATACCATCCTTCATGTATTGTAATTTTGGAAGATGCTGCTGTATACACTCTGCACTTCCATTTTCCACCTTACAGAACAATGTTTAAAATATAGATTAATATTAAATAAGATAAATAATAAGTTGCTTGTATTCTATCTAGAGTCTCGCTAACCATTGTAACAATTGATTGAAACTCCTCCAGTCGTATTAATGTATCTTCAACAATATCACGGAAATGTTTCATCTACAAACACGTGTTATTTAATTAAAATTGGTCAACAAAAAAAGAATTATTTAAACAATAGAAAACAAATGATACACTTGCCTGATTGTCCCAATCCACTTTGGCATAATTCGCATAATCTTTAACCAATTGTTCGGTCAATTTTGTCGTATGGGAAGACATTTTACTAATAATATACGTAATTAAATGCACAATCAAATATATGTTAAAGTTTAAAGGTTAAAATTATTAAAATTAAAGGTTAAAAATATGTAAGCTTAGAACGTATGTATAAAACGCTTTCTTATCATATTGAAAAACATTAAGCATATCTCGATAATTCTGACATCTGTGTCGAGATAAGTAAAATATTGAATCGTGATCAACAGCAATTCATTGCTCTGAAAACTCGTACATTTGTTTTCTTTTCTGTCATCGCAGTCACGCAAACGTCAATAATGATATGGCGTGTGCGTCGTTACGAAGATTCATTGGGCGCGAAATTTTAAATTTATTATATATGCGATGAGTTTAAAATGCCTTAGAGCTAAAATGTATAAATATTTAAAATGTATGTATGTAAATAACGTACAACGTTATTATATTATATATATTATATTATAATATTGATAACAATAATAAAATTAATAATAATATAATTAATAAGCTTAATTTATCTTATGTGCATAAACACTTAACTTGAGTATTGCTGACTCAGGTAGCAAAAGTAGTCTTTTTGTCGTCATTTTGATGTAATATGACGTCAAAAATAATGTCAAAAGGGTTACTTTTGCTGCTCGGGGACATAATAAAACATTTAACAATCATTGCAATTGCGAAAAATAATTTTATATATTATTTTTTTATAGTTACTTAATTGTTTAATTTTTGTCCGCAGTTAAGAATTAATTTTAAACTGATGTAGAAGTAAAATTTTGCTTTAACCTGGATTATATTTTGACAAATTGTCAAAGTCATTAATGCTAATATGTCGAATTTTTTATATTCTATATGCGAAAGAGAGGAATTCTAATGTTACAGTAAATTTTTGCATTCAAGTTTTTCTTTTCAAGAAAAATTTGACAGAAAGAATTATTAATTTGATGAGGTTTTATATATATGTTTTTTGTTATTAAATATATATTTTATATTAATTAAATTTTGTTGAACTAAATTTCTTCTGAAATTGATTTATAATCTATTTGTTGCCTTTACTTCTATATTTTCATTTTTAAAATTAATTATATAAATTAATTTTTATAATCTTTTAAGCTTTAATATTAAATAAGTATAATAATTGATATAAAAAATATGATATTATACATATACAATATATAAATATTGAAATTAATTCATATTTGACTATGAACTCTTAATAATTTTCCACTATAGCAAATGTTTCTTTTTACAAACATTATAAAAGAAAAACTTTTTACAACAATATGTTTCATATGTTTTATTTCACTTGCGTTTTATTTATTAAGTTTTTGTACTATCTGATCATTTAACTATATGATATTAAATTGCAGATTTTTTATTGACTTATGCGGAACTCCTTTTTTCTCATATCATATCTCTTTATGGCATTAAATAATATATGTAAAACGTCAAATATTTAAAATTAAAATGTAGATTGATATTTAAACATGTAACTTAGATTGGTTTTTGCATATTTATTTGCTTTATTAACTTATTGCGAAATATCTTTTTGCTCGAATTATTTTTCAAGATTTAATCGTCAAATGATATCACATGATATCTTGTATGTACGAGAAATGTACAAGAAAAATACAAAGTAATTCTTGACTGCATGACTGGCAAAAGTTGTATTGTTTTTTTTAATCTTATAATCAACTACTATGTAACTAAAACACAAACACTGTCAATAAGTCAAGATCTCAGTTAAACAGGAATTAGAAATGATTGATGATTTGATGAAGAAAAAAATGATATTAAAACGTAATTCATATAAATGTAGTAAGTCATAGTTTATTTTTCAATTCGAAATTTACATTATCAATTTAAAAGTGCGGTATAGATTGCGTTATATAATTACAGACTAAGTTATATAATTTTAGATTTAATATAGATATTACTTATTCTGATAAGTTGCTTATGTATATTATTGAAATATGGGTAATAGATACAAATTTATTGACATATTTCAGCTTGTAATGTTTGAAGTTTCGAATATGAAGTCAATTGCATTTCGTCGATTGTGTCACATAGCATATCTCATTTTTAACAAATCAATTTTCGGCGTGTACTATGTTATATATATCTTATTTTTCATATCTTTGCTGGAGCAAATATATTAAAAGTAATAATATAACATCAAGCACATAAAAATTTTCAGAATGAGATTTATTTGCAAGTATTCTTTGGCTATAATGTTTATATATTCTTCAAACTATTTCTGTGCAACAAAAAATTGCTATTTATATAAGTATATACTATATATACAAGTATAACTATAAAATATTTTACAGATATTAAATTATGAATACACATGTTACAAATATTGGCAAGAACATATAAGTTTTATAAAGAGTCAAATAGTCCATATTGCACAAAATATTACATAATATTTTTTTAATATAACTATTTTTAAAGTTGTACTCTCTCTTTTCTATTTTTTTAAGACACTTCTTTGTCTTAAATATCTATATGTCTTACAGAAGAAAAGTTGGATTTTGTTATCGAAAGTTTTATTAAATTCTAACAAACGTTATCTTGATCATGCCATGAATTCTTCTTTGCCATTTACGACATTTAATGTGTCAGTTTTATGATCTAGTGAATTAATTTCACCCATTAACGAGCAAATTCGACTCATTATTTCTGAATTTATTTTTATTTGCACAGGAAGAGAAACAGACGGAAAGCGGAAGATGTTTTAATTACTATGTTTTAATTAATTACGGTGTCTATTATTTGCTTTATGCTCATTAACCTGGAATCGATATGCGTTTTTTGAATTATTTATAAGTTGTCGATCCGAACACTGAAACGATTCGACAGCGATCAATAATTATCGTTTACTTACACATATGCATTTTTGAAATTTATAACACTCAATGCGATGCAATCTGTGAAAGTGCATCCTTAACGCTCACTTTTTCACTTTGGCTGGCCGTAGAATTTCTTTGCGTAATTCTATTACTGTAAAACTGGATACCGTGTACACCTATAGCCAGTAAAATTGTGAAAGGTTTGTCGTTAGACTAACATTAGCTTGCATCGTATTAGGTATTTTTTGCATATGCTCTTATGTGGAGTTCTCTTAAAAAGAGATAAGTTTCCATTTAAAGAAGTGCGTCTATCAATCCGTTTAATACCCGCTTCCTTTCTATTAACTTCTTGACATACAAAAGAATTTTTATTTTATAATATAATTAAAAATATGTATATATCTTTGTTGTATTTATATAAAAAACATAAACTAGTGAGATCGGAATAAAATTCTCTATAATATATAGTTTAAAGTTGTATATGTATAACAGGAAAAGTGCAAGAGTCACATATTAAGAAAGGAAAGAAATTATAAATTATATATATTAATACGATTATGTTTAAGAATTTTCAAAAAAATTTTGGATTACACAATTTTAATATTGTAAACTAGATCTAATAATTCTAAACTTCTTTAAGAATTCTAAACTAGAGAGAAGCACAGAGAGGAACTATTGTTTATGTTTACATACACACATACTTATAATATACATTACATATACCTATAGCGTATATATTTTATTACTCTACAATTTCTTATATGTATTCTTTTATTTATGTGT